GTTTACGAAATTACTTATTTATGATATAAGTAATTGGCAAGATTAACAGCAAATCTTTAATAGGTCGCCTAAGTTGACGACAACAGATTGTAAATTTTCCAACAATCAGAGTAGAAGACCTCACAATGCACTTAACTGTCGCTTAGCCTTGCCTACCAAAAGGTATTCTCATCCCCGCTAGCCTGCAGTGGACTGCATATTCGACCTTGCTTGAATTGGTATCATTAGCCCCCTCAGCGGGACTCGAACCCGGGTTGTGTTAGTGAGGCGTGTAATTTCGAAATGTTCCCACAAAGCAGGACTTCTAAGAGTGCCAGTCAGTAGCATAGCGAGCTAGGCGTCTACCACTTCACGCTTTTTTTATCAGTCGTAATGTCGTTGAATAAAAAATGTATTCGCGAATACAGTTCGTATTGGATTTAAATAGGATTTCAAGACTGTCGGTAGATCTTGAATAATAGTTTTAGTCAACCTCGGCCGGTTAAATTGCATCGTAAGACCAACTCATCTCATCGCAAGAGAATTCACTATCAGTCCCTCATCAGGCTAAATGACCTTGGGCGACTAGACCTTAGATCCAAGATAGATTAATATCCTTGAAATGCTACTTAATTAGGATCTCAGTTCCTATAAATAAAAATTCTATGACAAATATTCAGATTTTGTAGGTCTCGAAGCGACCAATAGATCTTGCATAAGAGTCGTATTCAGCCTAGTTTGCGTAGGTCGATGAAGGAGTGAAAATCAAATGTTTCCTCAATTCCATTAAATTTCATATAGCCAGGAATTAAGGGTATATGAAATTCAGTGAAAACGTGGGCCTACCAAATATAAATATTGGTTTTAGCATGTCTTCAAGACTAGTGCTGTCAGTCAACATCTAATGGCATATGAGGTGCATTCACCCAATTCGGTTAAAGGTGACAAAGGGCTGGTAGTTAAATTTTCCCACAATTATATGAGTAGAGCTAACGCTTTCATCAGATTTCACGTAGTCTTGCTTCTCCAAAAGGTGTTCGCATCTGGGCTGATGTGGATTGCAGTTTCGACATCGCCTAGGTCTTAGCCTGGGCCCAGCGGGAGTTGAATCATGAGAGTTGAGCATGTAATATCAACACGTTAACCAGTACGCCACATTTCCACGAGTGCCCTTGGATCATGAGGTGAGATTGTCGAGAAGGAAAGTTATATTTGCTATGACAATCGACTACATTACTTATTTATCGTTTATAAGTAGGGTGCCAAGACAACCAGTAAATCAGTTATATGATGATGAGACTCCACTTATAAACGAAAAATAAGTATAATGAGATGTATTCACCCTATTTCGTCTAATGTGATGAAGGACTGTTAGTAGAATTTTCCCACAATCATATGAGTTGAGTTGACGTTTTCCATTGAATTTCACATAGCCTTACTTTCGCAAAAGTTGTTCTCATCCAGGCACCAGTGGACCGCAGTTTCGACCTCGCATCGGTCTTATCAACACCCTC